GCTAGTTCAAAATAGAGCTATGCAAACACCTTAACTTCTTTCCAGATCCTGGTGTTTGCCAGCACGTAGTTGACGCTGGTTCTCAAGGTCGGATGTTCAGATAAAAGTTATTTGGAAAGAATCTGCTTCTTCATATTTGAACTGTATGTAGTTTCAACACATAGGCTCTCCTTTGCCTATATGGCAATGAACTCCTGACACATAATGTACACCAACTAGCTGTAATAGATAATAATTGTCACAGTAAGGGGCAGCAGCCGTGGATTTGGGTTTGAGCTCACTCATGGAACATGCTTGGCTATTATCTGCAAGAAAATGGACGTTTCTCCTAGATACCATGCCCTATTTGTTTGAGATCGTCCTCTGTGAAATTCTCTGCTCTTCTGTGGACTACATAAAATGAGATCTGCCAACTGGCTTTTTGCTTCTACTAGGACAAAATACAGAGCCTCACCACTGAAAAGTGGAGGGAAAGTGACTTCCCTTACACATCATTCACTTCATAAACCCTATGTTCAGCCAGATAGGGACACAGCAAGGAAAGAAAAAAACCTTTAGTTGTCCAATGTGACTTTTCTCAGTGGATACGTACAGAATCTGAAAATAAGCAGGCTCCTCCTTTGGAAGGAAATTCAAACAATGGTTTATCATTTGAACTAAGTGAAAAATAATTGGCAAGCAAGTTTGAAGATAACACATTAATATAGGTAAAGCTAAATTTCACCAAACTAAATTCAAGTGAGGTGTACCACATCGTTGTAATTACTACACAAAACATGAGTTAATTAACTTTATATCGTGCTGATGAAGTAAGTATGTATTACTTATGGGGCAAGGAGAGGAGGCAACACTGGGATGTTACTGGCTTTGCTGACAAGCCAGTGTGTGGGGAGCATGCCACAGACAACTTTATGAAAATGAGGCCAGTGAAATTATATGGCCTTAGAAATGACTTTTCAGGGTAGGTAGAAAATTATTTTTAAATTATGATAAGTTTTAGTTGTAACACCAGACTATTCAGTGCACGCAGCATGTTTAACTGCAGTTTACCAGTTTACTATTTAACATTTCATCTGGGGACTCCAAGCACTAAGGACCAGACTTTTAAAGAAATTTAGACAGCTAAAATACAATTACTTGGTGATCTTCAGAACTGTCAGGACGGGTCTCCCAGCGAAATAAAGGAAACCTGGATATAAGAGTGCTGTAGAAAAGCCTTCACTCAGTGCCTATCAGTCTCCCGAGGAGCTGCACTCCCTCTCCAAAGTATTGACCCTGCTTCAGCTGAAGGTGCCTCTGGGGACATCCTGAAGGGGAACAGGATGAGTCTGTGCACATTTCAGAAGGAGGTGTTGCTCCTGCGCAAGGCATGGGTGTGTGCAGGGCTGCTCCGTGGCAGTGGGCTCCCTTTGCTTACTGCTGCGGGGTGTATGAGCTCCAGTGTGGTACTTGGGAGCAGTGTGGGCTGCTGGCGCGGCTCCTTGTTTGCCTTCCCTCCTGGATCAGGGCGGCTACCCATTGCTGAAGGGTGGCCAGGAGCAGCTCCCGCTGGTGAACCTCTTTTGTGTTTTTATCTCCCTCTTCTTGGCAGTGAGCTGCCACTGGCTCCCAGCCATGTCCCTCTGGCCCTTCTCAGCGCCCAGCCTGCATGCTCAGCCAGTGCCTACATCTCTTCCAGCAGCTGGCCTTACTTCTCCTCCACAGCTGGCTGCTGCCCCCTACTGTGGTAATTATTATTTATTATGGCTAGTTGGTGTACATTATGTGTCTGGAGTCCAGTACTGTCTGAATCAGTACCAGCATCCTACAGTGTGGGCAAGAGCACGTACTACTATGCAGTTGTTCCACATATATTTTCACGTGACTTTCACCCAGAGACAGACTGAGTGGGAGGGAGTGAAGGTGTCTGTTGGCACCTATTAGCACTAGCTGATGTGACATGTACTCTGTGTCCTGTGTTACCTGACTCCAGCAACAGTGCAGCTGAGTACAGAAGTGCTTTCTCTCCACCTTGCTATCAATAGCAAGTCTCCAGCTGTTTGTGCTATCTAGCAGAAAACATCTGAAGTGCTTTCTGAAAGTCACAGTCTCTGCTCAGTCACAATTTAACTCTCTGTTGCTGTGGATGCAGATATTGCTTGGTTTCAGTTGCTATCAAGGACGAGTACCCTTAGATCATTGTATGGCTGCGTGGGACATTGTTCTTTTTGCTATTTCTCTCCCCCACCTTCTTCATCTTCTCCAAAACTGTTTGTTCACGCTGGCTCCTTTGTGCATGTATCTTTCTCCTTCTTGCACTTCACGCTTTCTCCTTGCCTTGCCTTCCTGAAGACTAACTCACGTAAATATAGAGGAGCTTTAACTCCTAAAACTCAGTGTACAAACAAAAGCACCTGGAAGAAGAATAAACTTCTCTACGTTCAGAAAAGCCTAGAATAGTAAACATATTTTGAACATATATGTACACGCATAAGAGCCAGGGTCTCTGCTGCAGTGGTTGGTTTAGCTCTGTTCAGGATGATGGAGCAATGTTATTTCACGACAGCTGAGAATCTGTCCCAGTATGTAAATGTAAATATCTATTTTTACAAGCCCTCCTACAGTTTACTTTAAAAAAAGCTTTCTTTTTAAACACTAAAAGCACATAAGCCGGTTAGAAATGTCCCACTTTCTGTATTTTGTCTAATTCCTACCTCTGACTTCCTTTGAAAGCTATCAAAATCTAAGAAATTCAAAAGAGATGAGTGAGTTAAAATAGAAGTAGCTTTGTTTTCAGTGCAATGGGCCTGGAAGAACTGAAAAAAAGAGAGAGAAACTGAAATGGTATGAAACGTTGCAAATCCAAATGTTTTATAGAAAGTGGCCTCCCAAGTCAGCAAGTTTCGCACTGTCCTATTGCTCATAATCCTCCGCCCTTTGAACCAGCTGCAGCAAGCCAATGTCAAGAGCAAATACTTACATAATGTAATCTCTACATTAGAGCACTTTATGCCATGAACTACTTTTTAAATTGTTTTGAGTTTACATTTCATTGCTTCCTTTGCATGTAGGTGCACACATGCACCTCCTCCATCTCGTGTATTTCATGCGTAACTTTCAAGTAGGCTGGAGCTGTACGCTTTGGATGTGGAGTATGCAAAACTCACAGCTCAAGGAGTTTAAATGGGTTTATCCTCTTTTAAGACGAGAACCACATGTGTAACTTAGATCCAGATCTGGAGTAGAGTCTGGATATGCTAATTTGAATGCGTTAGGATTTGGCGTTCAGACTCATTTACTTGTTACGACACTAGTCCTAGTACCCACCAGTGGGTCCTCGCCTTTCCCCCCATTAGACAGAGAAATGCTTAGCATATTTACTTCCTCTGAACTTATTTTTTAATTCGTTCCAGGAACATATCATGTTTAGGATATTTTTCTCAGTTTTATATCTTAACGTCCTCTATGACAATTGCTTATAAATGACCTCTGAAAAATCTTTCGAATGTTTGGATCGCTTACACATGGTCACCTTCCTCTGACAACTTCATCTTATCCTACTTTCCCTCCGAAGGCTGCTCCACTGGCTTTGCAAACTATTCCAATCAGACAGAGGTACATTTTCCCCTTGTAACAGCCTCACTAGTTTGAGAGATTGCACCCTCATGGGGCGTTCTTGTCCAACAATCTCTCTCTTTAACTGCTATTCAAAACTTGATTCTTAGGTTCCCTAAAACTGTGGTAAACATCAAAGCCCTGCAATTCCCAGGATTTTCCTCATCTCCTTTTGAAGACAGGCAACATAATAGGGCTTTCCAGCCTTCTTTTGCTGCTGCATTTTTTAAGGGAAGAAGGCATCCCCTTGTCAGTATCTTGGCTTTTTCTCACTTTATTTCCCCTCAGAACTCCCAGATGAACACCATCCGGTTGCGGTGATTTACTGCACTTGAGTTTCTCAAGTTACTCTACAACTTCCTCCTTAGAGACTTCAATCTGTATAAAGGCCACACTCTGATTTTCTTTGCAAAGTGCCTTTGGCACAGGAATTTCTCCATCACTCCCAATAGCAGACATGATGCAAGAGATTCATTTAACTCCTCTGTTAGCTTGTTGCACTCTTCTCCCGATCCACTTTGTACAGATTTGTGGGGATTTGTAGGGCGTTTTGGTGCATAACCCAGTGTAAGCTTTATATTTACCTACAGGCGAGGCTTGGTTCTCAGCTTGTGCTCTGTTACTGCTCCAGTGAAGGATATTTCCGCATATTGCTGCAGCCACTCTCATCAGATCTTAGGTATCTGGCTTATTAAGCCCAATATTATTCCACCAGTACATCTGTCACA